GCCGCCAGACCTACACGCGCTACCAGACGCTGGAGCTGGAGAAGGAGTTCCACTTCAACCGCTACCTGACCCGGCGCCGCCGCATCGAGATCGCCCACGCGCTCTGCCTCACCGAGCGACAGATCAAGATCTGGTTCCAGAACCGCCGCATGAAGTGGAAGAAAGAACATAAAGAAGAGGGTCCAGCCACAGCCTCCGCCCCGGAGAGCACCCTGCCCGCGGCTGCCACCTCCCCAGTGGCCACAGACAAGGCCGAGGAGGAGGAGGAGGAGGACGATGAGGAAGAAGAGGAAGAGGAGGAATGAGGGGGCCTGGCAGGGGGCTGGCTGCACAGGACAGTCGGGAAAGCGTCTTTATGAGACTCACTGGTTTTATTTACAAAACATGAAAGAGAAAAAAATATGTAAAAAAAAATCAACAAAACACCCAGTCCCCAAACCCTACCCCACCTAAATACGTACACGCTGGCTTTTCCTACAATAGCAAATATTGTATATTTGAGATCACCTCCATCTCTAAACCTTTCTAGACTGAATGGCCACAGAGACTGGGTCTCCGTGGGGACTTCCTCTGTCTCAATGGCTCCCCAACAGACATCTCCTCAACCCTAGGCCTGCCGGCTCTGCGCTGGCGCCAACGAAATACTACCTAGCACAGGCCTCAGGCATGAGGCACCCCAAACTACCTATGGGCCCAGCCCCAGTGGGCCTCCTCCCCCAGGAAGCCTGGACCGTGTCCCAACACTGGCAAACATTCATCAGCCCCTACCCCAAGGTCCTGACTCTCAGTACTACCTACTCTCCCCAAACTACCTATTTCTTGCTTGCTGGCTCTCCTGCTACCTAGCTGGCCCCACCGAGGGTCAGACCCCTGCTGCTTCCTGCCTGGAGCCTTTGGAGTCCCAGAGGCTGCACTGGGTCCTGGGGAACAGGGCATTGGCTTCTATTTAAATTGAAAGATAATATATTTATTCCAAAGCATTCTATAAGTGCTGCAACTTTAGAGGTCCCTCCTCTGGCCTGGACACCCCAAGTTCAGGCCCTTTGCCTGGCTTCTTGAAGGGAGCATTCCCATTTCTGAGCTGGCCACACACCTCCGGGTTAGCTTGAGCTTGGTAGGACTATCGAGATGCTACCAGCCATGCTGACCCCTTCCATGCCCTTGTGTTCTATTGTCCAGCCATGCCCTAATATGTACACGCTGGCTTTTCCTACAATAGCAAATATTGTATATTTGAGATCACCCCCCGCCCATTTATATAGTCTTGGAGCTCATTTGTAAGTCAACTGTCTTGACTTGAGAAGGATGTGTTAATAATAGGGTGACTTTGTAGCATGGTGTGTTGTCTTAACTCTGTAGTGGGTGTGGAGGCTGAAGCTCACCCAAAGTCCTTCATCTCCTGGTTTCGACCCCTCAGCTCCAGCTTGAGGTCCAGGGAAGGTGCGCTTCCCATCTTACCTAGCTAGCAATGTTTTATGTATCAGGAAAAAAAAAAATAAAGATGCTTGTTGACAAAGAAACACAGACTGCTTAATCCAGAAGGGACCTGGGGGAGGAAGTGAACACAAAGGGATGATAAACCTACCTCAGTCTGTGCGCCCACAGAGGCACTGGAAAGTGAGCAGGGGTGACATAAGAGAGATGGGTGGATTTATATATGTGTGCATGTACCTATATTTGCGTATATGGATTTTCACGTATGTTTCCATGTGTTTTTCTGGGAGTCTATTATTTGTGTATATTTCTGTGTGCATAATTGTGTGTATGTATTTTTGTCCATAATTGAGGGGATGTTTCTGTGACTATAATTGTATCTATTTCTGTCTATACTTAAGTGAATTATGAGCTGTGTGTTCATACTTGCATATATTTCTGTGATCACAATTGTGTGTGTTTTTGTTTTCATAATTGTTTCCATGTGTCCGTATGTATTTCTCCGTATGGAGATGTTTGGGGGTTGTATGTGTGCACAAACACCCATATCCCTAGAAAACGGAATCTTCCGTGGACATTTCGCAGTCTACACACTTCCCTAAGAACCGTCGTAAATTCCCTGAGTGGAAACAAATTCACCCTTTCCTCTAGGGCTATTGGTTTAGAAAGGGGCACTACCCTGCGGACGCGTCCTGAATCCGACCCCAGCCTAAAATGTGGGATTCGGGCGACTGCAAGGCCAGCTCTGCACCCCACAACCTCTCTCCTGTATTCAGGCAAAGTGAGGGCCCAGAGCCCCGCACTGCGACAGAGGGGTACGGGGAGTGGCAGGGGGCGCGGGGTCCCCCCCCCCGCAGCCTGTGCGGGTGTCAGATTTGGGGAAGGTCCACGGGAAGGACCTGGTGGCAGGCATCGTGGAGCCGCCTGAGCTGGGCTGCCAAAGCCCTACACTCTGGTGTCCTAGCCTGGGCAGGGCCCGCTTCTAATAGATTTTTCCCTCCCTATAAAATTGGGCCGGACCAGGTCTGGAAAAGCTGCGGCCCCAAATCGAAGCGGCCTACGTGGTAAGATGGCGCCGGTGGAAGAGCTGCCGCCTCGTAGTGATGGGGAAAGGGTCATAAATCCGTTGTTGTTTATGAAAATTTACAACTTTGCAATACAACTTTATGAGTTGTTCGGCCCTTCCATTGGCCGCTGTCGGTCATGTGGATGGGAACCGTGAACATGAACTTTTTTATAATTTCCCTTGCGAGAATAGAGCCGCATTCTTTTGCTCGGCTCCGTCCTGCTTGCTTCGGAGCTCTGCCTTCCAGCCGGGGCTCCGCTGCGCTTTGTCCGGCGATGGCGAGCGAGGGGCGGCTCCGGCCTGGCCCGGCCTGGCCCCAGGCGCCCGAGGTGGGGCGCGCTCCGCTCGGCTCGCCGCCGCGCCGGCCGCTTTGCAACTCGCAACCTGGTTAATTTCCTGCGTCCTCTGGCACCGGGAAGGAGGGCGATTCATCTCCTGGGCTGTGCAAGCGACAGCTGTCAGAGGGGCCTGAGCTTCTGGGAGCCGCCATCTGAAGGTGAGACGTGGGGAGGAGACAGGAGCGAAGGTGGTGAGCGAGATGGCAGCCAGCGGGCGCGGTGGTGGGAGAGGGCACCCCGCGCGGCTTCGGAGCGGGGCGCGCGCACCCACAGCCACGCTCACCAGCCCCATCCCAGCGCCCCCCCTCCCCCCTTCGCCACCGCGGAGACTGCCCGCCTCCCTCGTGGCACCGCGCCCGGGCTCAGGGCGGCAGCACTGGGGGCTGCTTCCTCGCTCCAGACAGCCCAAAGCCAAGTGACCCCGCTTCCTCCGTCCCCTCTTGGGTTTGGATTTTTCTATTTTTCTCCCATTACTACTTAATTGGTTCTATTGGATTCTCCATCAGCAAGGGCCCATTCCAGAGCTGGGAGGTGGGAAGTGGTGGAGGGCAGTGAATTGATGGGCTTGGCGTTCTTTTCTAGCACCAACCGGGGTTTGACATTAGTGAGGGTTGATTTGTGGAGAGAAAGGTGGAGCGGTGGGCAGGGGACACTTACTAAGTCGGCTGGAGTCGTCGGGACTGTGTTCTCTCCTGGGGCGGTTTTCCGATGAGAGGCGTCTGAATCATGGGGAGAGGGAAGTGGGAAGAGGGCGCAATTCTGTGTTGGAGGAGAGGATGAGGTTAATTGGCTGAAGGTTACAGGCCGGGAAGTTTCCGGGCAGAGGACTTGGTGGTGTTAGTGCGGATAGCAGGGACCAGCAGCTGAGATTGAAGAGGGCGCAAACGGGTTCTGGGTGACAGGGGGGACCTCCACCCACACACCCTGGCGCGTCTGGCAGGAGTCTGCGGGGAATCAGCGAGCCCCCCCCTGGAGGAGGTGCGAGCGGAGTTGACTTTGCGGAGCGCAGCAGGGACGGGTTTGGCCCGGTGTGATTTGTCCCGCAGCTCCAGAAAGCAAGAAAGGAGCCTGGGGTGCTGGACACGTTTTCTGTGTGTTTTTTGGCTTTGGTTGGTGTTTTCCTATTTTAAGAAAAGATCTGAGTATTCCCTCATTAATGAGGATGCGCCTGTGGGTGTTTGGGACGCCCGCCTGCTCGGTGGGGGTGCTCGGGTGGATAAAGAGGCGCTTTTGCATCGCTGGGCCGCGGGCCGGGCTGAGGCTGCCGAGGGCGGATTATTTATTGCGGGCGCGTCGGGCGCTCGCTGCTGCCACGCTGTGGCCGTCGCTGGGACCGACGCCAACCGCAGCCCCGCGTTGTGCAGCCTGGCGCGGCTGCTGTGCCGGCCCCTCAGAGGTTCCCCAGCAGGCTGAGGAGAGAGGGGTGAGGTGCAGGTGTGGGGTAGGTCCCCTCGGGGCTCGAGTGGCAAAAAATTTCCCCCGCCTCGGCCACCTGGAGTAGGAGCTGGATGCTGGACTAGACTC